TATATATATATATATATATATATATATATATATATATATATATATCACTGGCTGTGCTTAATGTGGTTCCTAGTAAATCAGATGCCATATGAAAATAAAACAAGTTTCCTACCTCTACTTTAATTAAATTAAACCTAATTTGGATAGTTCAGGGAGCGAGAGAAAGGTGACGCTCGTTTATTTAAATCAGGGGGAGATGAGTTAATTTCCTGAAATTGTACAGTAATGCTTTTTCATTAAACGGATGCCTTCTCCATTAGATTTAGATGACTGTGACGAAATGGGTAGCCTCGCTGGCTCAGAGACTGGCAGCTCCCGTTCACTGCCTTCTGTTTTCCCAGAGGCAGGCAGAAATAGAATGTCCCAGGCGAAGGTAGATGAATGTCACTGTGCACTTACCAAATTCATTATTTCACAGAATCAATAAGAAAATCGATAAGGAATCGAATCGTTTCACAGAATCGAAAAGGGAATCAGAATCGTGAAAATCTTATGAATTCCCAACCATAGTGGAAGAGAAGCACAAGCTGTTTCAATAAAACTCTATTAATTGCCTTCCTTCTTTTGTGAGTTTTTTAAGGTTGAAATAATGTTCCAAATTTGGGTGGGTCAAATTCTGAAATGTAAAAACTAAAAGTAAAAAAAATTAATATTTAAGAAGAACTGCAGTCATTGTCACAGAGCTGTGCCACCTGTCAAACAAAATATAAAGCAGCTCCTAACATCATGACCTACCTGTACTCAATGTCCTTAAAATAAATCAGACCAGGTAAAGTTTTATTGTATCAAAAATATAAGGTAAACTATTAAACAAAACTGTAAAAGTAATTTGTATGAGAAAGAGGAAAAATGGTGCAAAAAGCATCTGTCTTGTAGCTTAATGGCTCTTTGTGACCACAGAATGTTGCAAGGAATATTCTTTAAATGTCATATTCTTGCCATATTATTGGCTTCTCAGTTTCTCTGCAGCAATTGAAATTTTAATCCCTGTTCTGATTGTTCAGGCAAGTCTGTGAAAGCAATGGGAGGTGCTGAGTGAATGTATATGTATAGTATCTTTAGGGGTTAAATCAAATTATCAATGACTTATCTACTATGTTGTTAACAGTAAAACATCTTTCTAATGACCTTAATGTTTCTGATTGTTTTGAATCCTCTGTGGTTTTCATTTGTATAGTCATCTATCGTCTTCACCTGCCGATCCCACCTATGTCTGGCGGTCACTGGGACAGAGATACCAGTTAACCTAACAGCCATGTTCTTGACTGCGGGGACACTCTGGAGAGGATTTATGTGTCACAGGGTGAAACCATGTTTATTATTTTTGTTTCCTTGTATTGCTTGTCAACTGCTGACGAGAAACACATCACCAACACCTTAGGTTCAAAAAAAGAATAAGCTGGGACTTGGTGATTATGAGGCCTGAATTATGGTGTCAATTTTTTTTTTATCAAATTAAAAAAAAAAATAAAAAAAGTTTTTCTTTCCAATATATTTATTTTACTTTCAAAATGATTTCCCATTTCAGATAGCTTTTTTTATAGAACTTCATAAAAACACAAAAATAACTCCATACAAAATCTTTTTTCAAAAAGGTGAATCTACATTTTCAAGAATCAAGAATCTTTATGGCTAATAAAAGTAATATTTGAGAGTTTAAAAATTTAAATTAAGAATTAAAGTCAGTATCGATGTCTAACTGGATATTTAGGACCTCCTTATTCTCCCCTCTGCTGGTAAGCTTTATAGGTACACTAATAAAAATGTTTACTGAGGACTTGGAAACTATTCACGTTGTCTAAGATACCAGAAGATGCTTTAATGACCTTTGTCCTTAATTATCCAGCTGACTGGTCCAAGCAAAAGTACAGTCTTTTTATGGGAAAATGGGATATATCAGAGGTGCAGAGGGCCATAAAGCAAGAAAACCCTTTGGAAAACTTAAACAGATTCACAGGCTGATCATCAGTATTTAATGCAAAAGGAGCCCCAACCAAATATGAGTGCATAAACTGCATGGTGCATGGACATACTGTAAGAAAGCTCACATCTTTGGTAGAAACCTAATATATAATGTATTTCAATATGTAATGTAACAAATTGAATTTGGGTGTTTCATGAGCTTTAAGCCAGAATCATCAAAACAAAGAAAAATAATGGCTGGAAACTCTTTATGCAATACGTCTATTTAAAACATGAGTTCAGTTTGTAAGTTAAATCACTGAAATAAATTCATTTTCAAGTCTATTTAGATATACTTATACTATTTTCATTGTCCTTTCTTCTATTCATCTACCCATTTTTTTAGGGTTTGCCAGTTTTATCCGGTTCTACCTCCTAAAAGCTCTGTCTGCATTTAATGAGCTTCTGAAAGGCCTGCTTAAAGTCGTCATTGAACACGGTGTAGATGACAGGGTTGATTAGTGAGTTTAGGTATCCCAGCCATGTGAAGACATCGAACAGCACCGGACTGAACCAACAGCTCGTACATATCGCGCTGACGAGTGTGCTGACAAAAAATGGGAGCCAACAGATGATGAACGCTCCCAGAATAATGCCCAGCGTCTTGGTGGCTTTTCTCTCCCGCGCCGCACACAGACGTTTCCTCTCCAGCACGCTGTCTGCCAGCTTCACTTTAACACTGTTCATGAACACAGGCGAGCCTCCCCCTCCACCCCCAATACCTCCTGCATTGCCAGAGTGTAGGTGTGCTTCCTGGTGGGAGGCAGAATTAAGAGAACAGAGAGAGGAGCCTGCAGATGTCTGGATGAGCTGTGCCGTTGTGAAGCGCTTCCCGGATGATGGGGTCTTGAAAATACGAGAGCGGGCAGCAACGTAGATCCTTCCATAGAGGATGATGAGAAGCACTGTGGGAACGTAGAAGGCACCGAAAGTGGAATATAGGGTGTAAGAGATCTTCTCTGTATTCACTACACACTCTGTAAGCTCCCCCTGCGCTTTGGCCTGCCGCCAGAAAAGTGGAGGCATGGAAATAGAAATAGAAATCACCCAAACAACCCCAACCATCATCCCCGCCCTACGCATGGTGCGGTGCTTGGAGTACTCCAGTGCATCTGTAATGGCCCAGTAGCGGTCCAGGGCAATAACACACAGATGCAAAATGGAGGCAGTGCAGAAGGTGATATCAGATGAGAGCCAGATGTCACAAACAATCTGTCCCAGCGACCAGGTTTTTGTTACGGTATACACTATGCTTATGGGCATGACCAAGATAGACACCAGCAGGTCTGTGATGGCGAGAGAGCCTATGAGGAAGTTGGCAGGTGTGTGGAGCTTTCTGGTCAGAAAGATGGTGGCTATGACGAAGGCATTTGAGAGAGCGGTTACCAGGGTGACGACTGCTAACACCACGTAGAGCGAGACCTGAAGGCTGAGGAGTGTGGCCTCATTCCAAGATGGAGTTGTAGTGTTATTACCTGTGATGTTGTCCATGATTTTAGTTCATCACTAAGAATCCTGATGATCTACGAGCTCCAGTTCACCATTTCTCCCCAGAAAAAAATCCAACTTTGTATTCAGATGATCTCATCCTCTACAAGCAGCCAGCGGATCATGATACCTTAATGCCAGGATGTGCAATTTCTCAGAGTCATAAATGGGTTTCTCATCTTCAACAAAAAGCCCAGCGAGGAGCTGAATACTGGAAGACGATGATGAGAGATGAAGAGGTCTCACTTTTATCTTTTCTTCTGAAGTCTGCATGAAGTCGTCTGAGTTTTTTTTGTCTAATATCAGACTCTTTCGATGAGGCTTTGAAGAAAAAAATGTCAGGATTGCATTAATAATGTCAAAAGTGTTTCAGTGATAGAGCCTCTTCATAAAAAGCTCTTCAGAGTCCAGTGGGATTTTGGGCCATTATGCACAACTTTTCTAAAATAAAAAGATAAGAAAAGCCTTTTTCTAATGTGCAAGACTAGAACTTGTGTCCATTAATTTCTCCTCTTCACTGCACTGATTATCCAGGAAGGTTTCAGCAGAAGTATCCGTGAGGATTACGATGTTTAGAGTGACTGTAATCCAGTGCTGCATAAATTTTCTACACGAAACAAAGAGAGAGAGAGAATATATTAGACATTGTTGTCTATTCCTTTTATTTTTATACATAAAAACATACAGAAACAAACCACCTACAGTACAGTGTTGCAGAAATGTGTTTCCTTTTTGTCACATACAGTATGAAGACTTTAGAGAATAACATAAATGATGAAAAATGAAAGATCTAAACTAACCTGATCCAATATGAAGAAAGCAACCATCCCATTAATACATCTAGAACTGTAATAATCAAATATGAATTTGATTTTAAAGGCTACAGTACACCATGAATACAGGATGTCACCCTGAATATTCAATAAATTGCTTAAACAGAACCCTTCTAATTAGGAAGCAGGCTACAATAATATAAAATAGCACCATATCATGTCGGCATCAAATGATGTCGGCATCAGATGATAAACAAAGCAAATGCTATTTATCAGTCTGGAAAAAAATATTACATGAATATTAAGACTCTGGTACTTAAATTGATAACAGTCAGTCATTATCCAGTATCCAGCCTCCCAAAAGTACTCCAAGACTACAACAGCATCTCATCCAGGATATTAACATGGAACAAAGTACAAGATCTAAGGCTCGGCAGGCCTCACTTCCCTTAGTTGAGGTCAGAGTTTATGATTTGATCATAGGAAAGAGAGATTGGGTAAAAACGGCTTCTACGGCAAATTTCCAAGAGCTGAAGAAAATAAGGGAAAAAAGGCTTACATTGACCCTCAAAAACTGAAGACATTTGGGAAATTATTTTGTGGACTGATGAGACAATTATGGAAATTTTTACATCTGGCTACATCTGGCATAATGGGCATCTCTAAACTCTCCTTAGGTGTGTGTGTGTGTGCATGGTTGTCTCACTTATAAACTGCTGGTGCACCGGCACCACTTTGACCCTGACAGAATAAGCGAAAAATGATGGATGGATGGAAATGTACTGATGTAAACTATTTTTATAGCACTAAATACCTATTTTGACTTTCTTTTTTTTTTTTAACAAACATTCTAAAAAAAAAACACAACATAATGGAGATTACCGGCCTAACCAAGTTCCACTGTTCATCAACAGCTCAGCTGTAGAGGTGATCAGCAGCACAGAATTCATCACATCACAGTTAACCTCAACTGGACTAAGCACCACCTCACTGATCAAAAGGGCACAAAAGCGCATGTAATTCTTGCGGAGGATGAGGAGAGCTCACCTACCCCCACCCATCCTAAAAATCTTCCACAGAAGCACCATGGAGAGCTGTCTCACTGTGTGGTGTGAAGGCTGCAGCGTCTCAGACTGGAAGAAGGTGAGGAGAGTAGTAAGAACAGCAGAGAGGATCAGCGGGGCTCCTGTTCCCTCCATTAAAGACATTTAATCCCAGCGCTGCGTGTCTGCCCGTAACATCATCAATGACCAGTGTTGGGCAAGCTACTTGTCCATTGTAGTGAGCTAAGCTATCAGTTACTCAGCAATAAATTAAGCTTCACTACACAAAAGCTACCACCTAAAGAATTATAGCAAGCTAAGTTACACTAATGTGTTAAAAGTAGCTTAACTACATCAGAAGCTACTTAACGTTGTACCAACCTAATTCAAAATGAGTCTGATACACTGGTTAAAATATTTATTAAAGATCAGCCAATGACATAACACAGTGTAAACATTGCTTTATGATCAGCATATTAAAATAAAAACTAAAGTAATTACTTT